TAGATAGAGAGAGAGAGAGAGAGAGAGAGAGAGAGCAGTCGCTCGCCCAAGCTGAACAACGACAAGCCTAGGCCTCAAAGACTCAAAGACATTGCAAAACAAAACAAAACAAGACGAGCACTACAAAAACACGGATGTCACGACTCCAATATTAGCGGGACGAACAGCAACAATAATTGTTAAGATGCATTGTCGACTTTCATCCATGCATGTCCGTCAAAATTCTTTGGCCTCTATCAAATAAAGTTGTCTTTTCGCCTCCTGCATCTATTTGTAGCCTCTTGTAGGCTACCTTTCTTCCGCAATAGCATAATCTGCACTGTTCTCTGTCATTGATGGGCTAGGCCTAGCAGAGACGAAAACCCGTTTTCGAGAGATGGGTAGCTTTTCAAGACGGTGTTTTGTCTTACGTAACACACACTGTAGGTTATGTTTCGGAGAATGGAATGCATCATTGCTCAACGGTAGAATTCCCCCTCACCTTTATTGTGACTCACGAAACTGTGATTCAATATTACACGAACAACGCATTTACAACAACAAGGAAGGGATAAGGAAGGTAGATCTAGATCTAGTAATACATTTGAGCAACAGGCCTGAGACATGTTGACTGTAGTTGAGGAAAGGTATGGGACTAGAAAAAAAGGGGGTGGGGTGAGCAGGCAGGCATGTGGTACTCCCGACAAGGCTACTCAACTAAGAAAGAACTGGCACCAAGTTGTGTTGATAATGCAAAGGAAAGAAAAAAATGGGCGGAGGTCAGGGTCTTGGAGCACCGGAAGTGTTTTCAGCGCCTGCGTAGATTCGTCTTGAGCAACCATAGTAAATAATGGCGTCCTCAATCGGAAAATTTAGTTGATACAATCCGAGCCATCTTTCCCCATTTCACATTTATTTCTGCGATTAATGTCATTTTAAGAATCCCATTTTATCTTCCGACCCAAGGAGGGGTTAATCGGGAGATAACAGTGCGAAGGGTGAGCATACCAGTCCAATTATTTCCTTAGTTTCTTCCTCTGGATTTGTTTATGTTCTCGTCCGATCGTAGGTTGCTTGACGCCAGTTTTGATGGAAAAATTGAAACAGCTTTTCATCTTGTATTTTCAGCATTATGGAGTTACGGGTTGGAAACAAGTACAGGCTGGGAAGGAAGATTGGGAGTGGATCATTTGGAGATATCTACCTCGGTAAGTTGATTTTATTCTGTATCCAGACAAGACGGAAGATTTGTGTCGTCAGTTGCTCTTGTTAGTTCAGTCACTGGTCTGAAAAGGCAAACCGAATTCCAGCTTTTGTCTTTAGATTTGGACAAGTTCGCTCGACTGGAATTACCAGGTCTAGACGTTAGACAAGAGACTAGATCTAGATCTATCTCATTTGGCTTTCCACTTCCTACGTTTTTTAGTTTCAGCGTCTTCGTTGAGGGTTATTTTGGTATAGAATCCTAGGCCTAGAATAGCCTAGGCCTAGCAGTAGTAGCAGGAGTCCAGTCTCAACTCACTCAAAATGGGAAAATATTCGTCTCCTGGGATGTGGTCATGTCATCTGGTTTCCTAGATATTTGGTACAACAACAGAATTGGCTGACTGATTTTTATTGGCTTACTGATTTAATAATGGTATTTAGGTTGCTTAAAAATCTATTCAAATTACGGGAGGACTTCCGTAGTAACAAAGCTACAACTAGGCCTATGAACTTCTACTACTACTACTACTACTAGTAACAAAGCTACAACTAGGCCTATGAGACAGTGTAGAGTAGAATCTAGGA